CTTGATCTTCTTTGTATGTATTTCCTCTTTAAGAGGTTCTTATTACATTTGTATTTTGATTTTGGACTCCTTTAGTCTTTGACAAAGTCAGAAGTAATCATCTCCCAGCATGCATTTTGCTTTATCTTGTGCCCTAACTTAAAAAAACAGCTTCCATGCATTAAGTAAAGTATCTAGTCTTATAACAAAAGACACTATATCACCCTAACAACTGCTTGGAATTTAAGGCATTTATTTTGCAACGGCTGAATTTTTTTAAAGTATTTAAACAGCTCTAAATTATACCTAGCCTGGGAAATTGCACATCACATTTGGGCTAAATGTGCTTTGAGAGAACCAAGATAAAAGACATAAACCCTAAAAATGGAGATGATTAATACTGAAAGTTCTAACTACAGAAGTGTCTGTCTATACCAGGAGTGGGCAAACTACAGCCCGTGGGGCGGATCCAGCCCCTCAGGGCTTTGGCTCCAACCCGCGAGATTGCCACCCTGTAGCGCTGCGGGCCCCGCTCTGGGAAGTGGCTGGCACCATGTCCCTGAGGCCCCTGGGGGAGGGAGGGGCAGAGGGCCAATGGGAGCTTTGGGGGAGGCACCCACAGGCTAGGGCAGCCCTCTGCCCCCCCCCCCCCCAGGGGCCACAGGGACGTGGTGCCAGCTGCTTCCCGGAGCAGAGCGGCGCGGGGCCAGGGACAGGGTAGGTAGGCAGGCAGGCAGGGAGCCTGCCCTGGCTCCGGTACGCGCCGCTGCCACCCCAGAGCCACTCCAGGTAAGTGGCACCAGGCCAGAGCCTGTACCCTGAACCACTCCTGCACCCCAACTCCCTGCCCTGAGCCCCCTGCCTGCATCCCATACCCCTCCTGCACTCCAACCCCCTGCCCTGAGCCCCCTCCCGCACTCCACATCCCTCCCTGCACCACTGCCCTGAACCCCTTCCCACACCCCTCCTGCCCCCCAACTCCCTGCCGTACCCTGCCCCCCTCCTGCACTGCAACCCCCTGACCCAGCCCTACATTCATGGCCCTGCTTGCAGTTTCCCCACACAGATGTGGCCCTCGGGCTAAAAAGTTTGCCCACCCCTGGTCTATACAGTACTTAAAAATTCAAAAATGAAAGTATTAGTTTGCAGGGGTATGCTGAAATATAGGTCACAGACTAGTAGACCAATATTATAGTGGTGGAGTATGTTTATTTTTCTTTTTTAAAGCAAAAGGGATAAATTGAACCCATTAAAGCTTTCAGTTCTATTCATTAACAGAACCTAGGACACCCTGAAGCTGAAACATCAGAGGAAATGTTAGGTAGGCAGAATATAATCACCCAAACTAGAATTTGGGTAGAAGAGCAGGGTTTGCACCCCTACCCTTTCAAGAAGTGTCATGCTCTGAGCTTAATATTGCCTTACTGTTTTTTTGCACTTAATTTATACTTCATAATCACTACTGGTAACACTGTACATACTTAAGCCCTGAACCTACAACCACGTATGTGCATGCTTCATTATCCCTTCACTTGAATGTGACTACTCCTGTGCTTCAAGTTAAACAAACACATGCATAGATCCTTGCAGGGCAAAGGCCAGACACTGAATGTTCGTTAATGAATGAGTTTATCACTAATCACCTTTTTGGTGTAATATTTCAGAAGTTGGAGCAAATGCTGCTGAGATAAACTCCTTTAGGGGTGCTAGCAACCGAAATCCTAACCCAGAGAAGCAAGTGGGAAAGTTTTGCCATTGACTTCCATGAAAGCAGGATCTGGTCCATCAACATAATATCTTTGCTCCCATACCACTTGAAAACCCAAGATACGAGGCTTTTTTACCTGAAGATTTTATAAAGCAGACCCCGCTCTTAAGTTTGTAAAGTGAATGTTAGCGACATGAATTGCTACATCATGTAATGTGAATAGTATGAGGAAGTTAAATTAAGTAAGTATTGTTTATTAAGTTTTTAAATATACAAGCAAACAGCAGGACCAATCTCCTGCCTACCAACTAGCAAGGATCCTGTGCAATACCTACTAATTCTTCCCTACACCTGTAAACTCCCAGCCTTCTCCCAAGTTAGGTGCTCTATCTGTATTCTCTCTTTTGTGCTTTGGGGAGGGAAACAAATCTGCAGTTTCTCTGTCCAGCAATGCACATTTTTCCTATTACCAGTGGCATATTCTTCATCTCTGCAAAGGAAACAGAGGAAGTTTCTAACATTTCAGTTCTCTCCTACTCAAGTGCTAAGAGTGGTAGAAGAACCAGGCACAGCAGCAGCTCTCCTAATTAACATTTCCACATAATGTTCCTCTTCATTTGCTGTAGTCTCTTCACACCTAACCAGTCATAACCAGGAGCCACTGCGCTTGAGAAGAAACTCAAAGCAAAAATTTAGAAAAAAAATATATATACAGTACATGCAATTAACTAAAAACCTACATTTGGGAAAACATGCGTGTTCCTTTCAGTCTGAGTGCATGGTTAATTATAATATAAAGAGAAATCCAACACTGTAGAAGATAGGATGGTTTTTCAATTCTATTTGAAGGTTTCTTTATATGCAGGGTTGACAAACAGTTATGACTTTATTGCTTGGAGTATGCGGTACCATTCTGTCAAACTCCACCTACTGGATTATTTTATTACAACAGGCACAATGAAAGAGGGTATGTTCAGACTAAAAACTTAAATCAACCTATATTAGGAGTAATTACTACAGTGGTGCATGTCCACACTATCCTCCTGGGAGTGGTGGTGCAAGTCCTCACTAAAGGTACATCCACACTACCCGCCGGATCGATTTATTGTGTCTCGTCTAGACGTGATAAATCGATTCCCGCCGTGCTCCCCATCGACTCCGGAACTCCACCAGTGCGAGAGGCGGAAGCAGAGTCGGAGTAGACGGGGGAGCCGCGGCCGTCGATCCCGCGCTGTGAGGACGGGAGGTAAGTCGAAATAAGATATGTCCACTTCAACTACGCTATTCTCGTAGCTGAAGTTGCGTATCTTACATCGACCCGCCCCCCTAGTGTAGACCAGCCCTAAGAGTGCTTCCACTGACCTAAAAGGAACAGTATGGGGGAGCTGAGAGCCCAATCTCTCAGCTCTGTTGGCAGCTCTCTGTCAGGAGCTCAGCTGCCAACAGGCTCCCAAAGCTTCTCGCCTTCCTGTTCCCTGCCAGGCGAGTGGGCAGGGAGATGGCACCTGGAGCTTCTTAGCCCCCCCCCACTCCACCAGAGCTGTGAAATTAATGAGAGTGCTAACAGCCACTGTAAGTAACACAAAGTTTACACAGACACTGCATCACCCTAACTACACCAACATAATCCCTATGCCTCTTGTGGAGGTGGTCATTATGGCAGTGTAGTAGGGGACTTACACTGGCAGGACAAGGCTGTAGTGTAGACACTGACATAATTAGGTCCATGTAAGCTGCCTTATGTTGACCTGTGTAGTGTAGACCAGGACTGAGTTAAGACAGTGCTGACAGCACAATGTTCAACTGTTGCAATGCAATTTAGGGCTGAGAATTTAGATATAAAAAGCCTGAAATTAGGTCAGCCACATTGTGTATAAATATTATTTGGGATTACTACTAATGTTGTTCATGTGTACTATCCTGTACCTGTAATACAGCAAAGTTGTTGCTGTAAAAAATGCACTTCCTTTGCTGTCAAATACTATAGGATATAGCATTAAAGGGCTTAGCACCTTGAGGGGGAATAGAGGAGGGTAGGAACAGTTATTTAACAAATACCAGCTCTAAAATGACTATATGCTGGTTGCTCGGGGTTCTGGATTCCAAAGTAAAGGTGAATGTCTGATAGGCAACTGTTTCCTTGGCACACTTTTTAAAGTAAGCTGTCAAAGTAGTTACATTAAATAGTAGAGGCCAGACACTGCAAGCTGCCCAGAAAAATGTCTATTAACTCAAAAACGAGATGTTCCCCCTTCCTGTCAGTGATATTGCTCAGCCAAGGAGAGGGAAGTTTCTGTCTATGAGAGAGAAACACAAGAGACTTGTCTCCCATTTAGAACTCTCACTTTAGGATTCATACCATGAAACTAGACCCTCCACAAAACTAATTTAGTGTTGGTGAATACTTATTCCACTGTTACTAACTAAAGAACTAGTGTACTTCACGTACAGACTAGTATGTTTTCCACATGGGTTCCACCATGTTGACTAACAGAATATTGCATAAGCTCCCTAGGCTGAATAGCATAGTTGTCAGGGCACCAGCTTGGTATTGTCCTTACCCTTGATGTGATGTTTGGGGTATCTTGAACATTACTGTAGGTGATGTAGCTTTTCTTTAAAGCACTAGAATGCAAGTCAGTGTAGAGACAAACAGCATTGCCATGCCTCATTGCTGTAGTCTTGCTCAAATAATTAAGTAAAGAATTAGGCTCCAATGACTGCATTTCCTGGGTCCTTTCACTTAATGCACACCTGGATCACTGTTGCTAGAAAATAATGATCTCACGGAAACTGTGTTTAGTTGTACATACTTCGAAGTAATATACTTACCTTGCTCAGGAGCTCAGCTATTTTCTCTCACAAGTATGGTTTCCTTCACTTCTTTACATACAGGTCAAACATGAGAATTTCAACAATTGATGACCAAGTGTTTTTACCCATATTTTGAGGCCCCCAAAGAAAAAAAACAGATCTTCAGACTACTTATATATTAAATTGGATCTGTGTATTTGCAGATGTTTTTTCCCTATTAGTTCAGTTGAAAGTCCTGTTCACAGCCCCAGGCAATGCTCTCTTTAATATCATTATATCGTTACTCCCAGAGTACACAAATACTAACAAAAAGTTACCCCCTTTGGAGCAGTCCTTAGCACTGAAATGGTGAATACAGACATTACATCTGAAAACTGTCAGTTACCAAAAAAGAAGTTTCACCCTTCTATTAATGTATTGATAACATCTTTCTATAGAAATTTTAATGGATACTATGTTGTTCTCTTACTGCTATACATGGAACAAAACATAAACCGAGTCCTGTAACTACTTTATTAGCTCTTCAAAGTGACATTAACAGGAGAAACCTGACAACTGTAGAATATCTGCAATGCAAAGTTCCATAAAAGATCCAGTTCAGTCATAGCCATTGGATGAACTACTTTTTCTCTCTTGAAATAAGTGAATTTATTTTTGCCAGATCGCCAAATGACACTGTTGCAGAACCTTTCTGGGCAGGTCTTGCCTGAAAAAAAAAAAAAAAAAAAATGAACAACAGGCTCATCTTTATGTTCAAAACAAATCACACAAGCCTTTAAAAAGAGCCCCTTAGTTGCTTAGAACAAAAAAGGTGCTATCTTATGAAATATAGGCGTTACTGACATTCAAGCATAAAACAATGGATAGGCTTCATGTTACCTGTGACTCTTGGAATTTCCAGCCTATCATGTAATAAATTTGAAATGTAGCAGGTACTGAACCATCATTACTTCCATACATTTCTATTAAAAAGAGAAATGGGTTTATATACATTGAAGAATTAAGTATGAAATGTTGAATCTGACAACAGTTTTTGCTGAAAGCAACTATACATTTTTGAAAGCTATTTTTACTGTGAGGAAAGGAAGACCCTTAAAATTCTGATTGTAATAAGGTACAGAAGACAGAAGACAAGATGAGATCCCAACCATACAAAATGTGAATCTATTACAAATCTACAGTAATTACTATTAAAAAGATATTAGAAAAATAAATGGTACTTTTGTGTTAAAAATAGAGAACCACATTGTGTCTTAGATAAGTAAAAAAAAAAAAAAGTAACATGGAAAAGAGGTATGTTCATAGAACCAATGAAGGCTAAAAAGATAGCTATTAAATGTGTACTTCTACCTTGATATATTGCTGCAGCTGCCAACATGGTTTCTCTGTGTAGGATAGGTTTCCTATTCCAAGAACAGTTACTCTCTCCCATACCTAAAAATATGTTTCAGCTTTAAAAAAAGATACAGTATACACCATGAGTTTGAAATTTCATGTGTAAATCACACGTTTATATTAAGTCAATACAGACGCAGAATCCTCCAAATAGAACAGTAAAGCATACAGAGATTTGATTCAAGGGAACATCTACTTTACATTGCGAAGATGCAAAAGCCTTGCATAGCTTGTATTACAATTTATGGTTATAAAATTAGCCATTTCACTATGTTATCATCCAGAAGACTTAGTCTGCTATGTAATGGTCTTGATTTTTTTAAATAAGCAAGTTAGTCTGCTTATTTCCGGAATCTGAATACTGATGATTAAGCCTACCCCTCCATTATTATTTATGGATTTTTTTAAAAGGATACTAAACAGAAGTATAAAGTGACTATATAGAGGCAACAATGATATATCTGCAACAATGTAATAACAAGGGTTTCATGCCGAGAAGTCTTCCAGTTTCCTCACACTCTGATTTAAGGCTCCCTCTCTTCAGCTCCTAAGCAGCTACCTGAATATTCTGATTAAAAGCAGCCTCTCATGAAAGGCCATTTGAAATCTGTCCAGAGGCTCTGCCCTCTTGCAGCACTCAACTTCCACCTACAGAGCTGTACAGCAACAGAGATAGAGCTGGTTCTACAAACAGTGGCCAGCAAAGAGAGCATTAGGGAGACAGCAAATTCTTCTTTGTAGGCTAAAATAGATCAGGAGGAGGGAGGAGATTATCCCTAGCCCCTCCAGAATTCAGGGGAAAGGTAATGGTTCCTCAGGGGAAACCTAAAGAAGGAACTAGAGAGCCTGGGAGGGGAAAGGACAGAGGGAACTCTGTGCAAGGAACTGATATGTGGTTGCATGTGGGAAAAACTGATTGGATGATAGCACTTCATACAAGTACTGTAGTGCGTGCAATCACTTTATTGTGAAAGTGCAACTTACACATGTAGATTTTTATTGGTTAAATAACTGCACTCAAAAACAAGACAATGCAAAACTTTAGAGCCTACAAGTTCACTCAGTTCTATTTCTCGTTCAGACAATTGCTAAGACAAACAAGTTTGTTTACATTTACGGGCGATAATACTGCCTCCTTCTCATTTACAATGTCACCAGAAAGTGAGAACAGGCGTTTGCATGGCACTTTTGTAGCTGGCATTGCAAGCTATTTACATGCCAGATATACTAAACATTCGTATGACCCTTCATGCTTCGGCCACCATTCCAAAGGACATGCTTCCATGCTGATGATGCTCATTAAAATAATAATGCGTTAATTAAATTATTGACTGAACTCCATGGGGGAGAACTGTATGTCTCTGGCTCTATTTTACCCACATTCTGCCATATATTTCACGTTATGGTAGTCTTGGATGATGACTCACCACATGTTGTTCATTTTAAGAACACTTTCACTGCAGATTTGATAAAACTCAAAGAAGGTACCAATGTGAGATTTCTAAAGATAGATACAGCACTCAATCCAAGATTTAAGAATCTGTAGTGCCTTCCAAAATCTGAGACAAATGAGGTATGGAGCATGCTTTCAGAAGTCTTAAAAGACCAACGCTCTGATGCAAAAACTACAGAACCCGAACCACCAAAAAAGAAAATCAACCTTCTACTGGTGGCATCTGACTCAGATGATGAAAATGAACATGCGTCGGTCTGCACTGCTTTGGATTGTTATTGAGCAGAACCCACCATTAGCATGGACGCATGTCCTCTGGAATGGTGGTTGAAGCATGAAGGGACATATGAATCTTTAGCGCATCTGGCATGTAAATATCTTGTGATGCCAGCTACAACAGTGCCACACAAACACCCGTTCTTACTTTCAGGTGATATTGTAAACAAGAAGCAGGCAGCATTATCTCCTGCAAATGTAAACAAACTTGTTTGAGCGATTGGCTGAACAAGAAATAGGACTGAGTGGACTTGCAGTCTCTAAGTTTTATATTTGAATGCAGTTTTTTTTTTTTTTTTTTTTTTTTTTTTTTTTTTTT